ATGCAATGAATTAACCAATATAATGTGAAGCTCAACCCTAATGGGAATGTCCAAGACGAAGTGTCAATAGAGTTTGACAAGTATCAGCACTCAATGGGGACAATTTGGACCATAGTTGTTGGGCTCTGGTGCGAATCGGAAGCAAGTTAGGGATCAAGAGCAAAGGAATGGCTCGAAGATCCCTATAGTTGCGATCGTTGTACGAACAACGCATACACTAGCAATCGCAGTCCCATAAGGATCTCAATCCAAGCCTTTGGGATCCCTATCCCAACCTTTTGACATTCTTCCTCTAAGGTTAAACAGTATACACAGTCTGGGACAATACATATCCATTAAAGTAGGGATCTCTTTGTTTATAGCCAGCAAGCAAAGTAACTATATTATAAGTATCTTGCATTGCTAACTAGCTTGAAAATCATCATTTTTGTCATTTTTTTATCTTTAAGGTTATCAATATCCCTAGTAGTGGGGATCGAGATCCCTGACAGGGGGGTCGAGATGCCAAAATTTAAAATTGAGATCCTTTAAATATCCCTTTTCCAAAACGTGGGAGTGAGATTCCGGAGCAGGATAGCCACCTAGGTTGGGAGTCCCAGCAACTATGCTTCGACTAGAAGCAAAGGATGAAAATTTATCCATTTAAGTTGATGACATATTTATTCTTTAGGTTCTTAATTCTAGTTTTAACTTCTAACTTCTAACTTGACTTCTAAATTTATTCATATATTTAGACGCTATGTATTTTTTATGTATTGTAGCTTCATGGTGGGCCAATCATGGACAAAGCACCAATCACATATAGGAGATGGCTAAACGGATTTTGAACTTGACTTGTACGTCATCCAGTTGCAAGGCACAATTTTAGCACATTCAAGATGGTAAATTCCTAATTTCCCCTCTTCTCTCGCCACCCTAATGTTATATTTTTTAAGTAATTAAAAAACTAATACAAAAATCATGAATTATGCAACAGATACATACTAAGAAGAGAAATAGGCTCTAGTAAAAGAGATTGAACGACCTTGCTTTCGTTCAGTATAATCAGAAGCTGAAAAAGCATCATTTAGAGCAATGAAACCAAACCCATCCTTGTGATATGGATGAATCGAGCGAGTAGTCAGTCGAGGAGGATGTTGGGGATGAACCAGCATTCTCAGGAGTGAGCATGACATGGATCCAAGTTCATGTGGTGGACGGTATTGCATCGAGCCTTGTGTGGGCTACTAGATCTCAAAACTCAAAGGAAAGAAAAGAGGAAGGGCAGGAGACCAAAGACAGTAAGAGAAGAGGAGGAGGAGGCAGACTCATAGGAGACTAGGGAAGAAGACGCATATGAGTAGGAGGAGGAGGAGGGAGTCATAGGAGACTAGTGAAGAAGACGAATATGAGTAGTAGGAGGATGACTGATGATGATGGGTAGGCATCATCGTCTGATTCAAATGCACTTGATGCTTGTCATTGAGATAGATGTGTTGCTGCTGCTGATGATCAAATCAACCTCAAGTTTTAGTTCATCATATTTGTTGCCTCATTCTAAGTTTTGTTACTTTATGTCCTTTAGTTGTGACTTTTTTTGTGAGATGTGAGTTGTGACTTATAATTGAAAATTAACACGTGCTATTAATTGACAGTTTTTATTGTTGCATAATGGATGAATCTTGGGCAATTTGCACTTGTTTAATATTTTAGTCATTCAATTTCATAGTTCAAAGTCATGTGTGTCTAAGTGTCTAGGTTCGAAATGTACAATAAAACAACACACAAAAAAAACTATTACACAATGTTCTAAGAGTAGATGTTCTATGCACACAATCAGGGGACTCCCCCCCCTTCCCCACACACAAAAAAAGAAAAGGAACAAAAAAAATGCTCAATGACCTAGAAGCCCCCCTTTTATAGGCTGCCAAGGTATCTAGGAGTATGCTCAAGCAGCCAAATCTGCCTTCTTGAACACTTTGAGTTACGAAGTCCTTCTACAATTACAGACTACTCCCTCTGCAATACTTGTCTGCCTCTGAGGCAATCAACAGGGTTTTTGTTATGACAGTTGCTTTTGGGTGTGTAAAACAATAGCAACAAACATCATGCACTGGGCTGGTAGTATACAGGGGAAACCTCAATGTGAACCTTTTCTAGATCTTGCTAAGGAAACAATTAGCGGGTTGATTATTTTGAAATCGGTAGTTTTCAGTCCCCGAAAAGCAAAAATTGTAGAATAAAATAACACTATTCCCTTTTGAACTTAATATGCACCAATCATGCATCACACATGCAACAGATAAGTTACCCCATTTTCATGGTCATATTGCCCTTTTACTCGTACACAATATAGAACTACTTAAAATAATGGGTCCATTTGATTGGAAAATTTCACGAAATAATATTTGGCTGCTTAGGGATTTGACCAAATTCTAATTTGTTGAAAGAGGAAGTTTGATTCATCTGAATTGGGTCCCTCTCTCTAGGAGATCTCATCTCACTGTAGCTTTCCCCAGGACTGCCCAATTTATCATTCTTCCAATGAGGGTCTATCTCTCACTCTCTCCAAGATACCCTACAACATTTCTCTAGGGTCTGTCTATTTTTTTATCTAGCCCCACATCTGTCTTAGGACACCTCAGTCTTCTCTATCATGCCTCTCTCTCTCTCTCTCTCTCTCTAAATAGTCACATATCTGTCTCTAGTCTCTACTCTCAAGGAGATGGAGAACCCCCATATCTCTCTTTATTTTTATCAATAGAATGCCCCAGATATCTCATTCGTTTTCTTGAGGATACCCCACTTTCTATTACATTCTTTCTCTAGGATGCCCGTATATCTCCTCTCTAGGATGCCCCACGTATCTTTCCATATCTATCGAAGACACCCTATTTCTTTCCTCTTAGACTACCAACTCTCTTTCCCACAACAATATTTTTTCTCTCCTCTCTATCTTGCATCACATCTCTCTTCTCTCCAAAAGTTCTCAAATCTTGCTTCGGTTTTTTCTCTAATCATATCTCGTCTCTCACTATAGGATATCCCATCTCTTTCCCTTTTGAGGTACTCTGCATCTCTCTCTTTAGGATGCCGCTTTCTAAGATGCCCTGACTCTCTAGGTTGTGCTCCCTCTCTCTTCAAAATGCCCCACATCTCTCTAGGACCGCCTATTCTCTATCCATCTATAGATTTCATCTTTTAGATGCCCCCCTAGTACAGAAGGGACGGAAGAAAAGGGGGGGGGGGGGGGCACGTATATACTTCTCCCTCCTCTCTCTCATTGTCTCCATGTTATGCCAAGTTATATTTCCCCCTCTAGGTCACCCCATGTCATTGGAGCACCCCACACATCTCTCCTTCCTGTCTAGGCACCATAGAGCTCTCAATTTCCTAAGATATACCATACCAGTTCATCTCTCTCTCTCTCTCTCAGATGCAAAAATTTTACCATGTCAACCCTTTACAAGGCCCATATCTTTCTCTTTTACTCTCTAGGAAGCCAATGTCACCCTCTTTCTCTCTCTACAATGCACAACTCTCTGAGATGCCCAATGCACAATCTTAAGATGCTCCCCGCTCCTTCTTTCTCTAAGGCATCCATTTTGTTCCTTCTCTTTCTAGGATGCCCTCCCTCCACTCTCTCTATAGGACATCCGTCATCTCTCTCGCTCTCTCTCTCTCTCTCTCTCTAATGCCATACCACTCCACTTCTCCCTCTAGGATGTTATGCATCTCCCTCTCTCTAGATTGCCATGGAGGGGAGAGAGAGAGAATACTATCTTTGAGAAAGTGAGAGAGGGAAAGAGAGGTTGAAGTTCACATTACATATTGGAATTGCAAGTTCCAGTCACAAAAGAATTTCCTTAAGTCCCAAATGAGGCCTTCAAATGGTATTTCAACTAAATTCAAAATGAAAAATCAAACATCTAACATGGTGTTTGAGCAAATTTCAATTTGGTATTACAATTCCATGGTGCTTTAGAAGCAAATCCAATAAGCCCTAAATGTCTCAGGAGATAAAAGTGCATTACTCCTATGAGTTCTTGCAAGGAATTGAAATTTTTCAATACCCCTCAAGAAGGTAATTATCTCTTTTTATAAGTAAAAGAATAAAAAAAATATAAAAAAAGAAAAACAATGCATACCAAATATACCACAAATTACAAAATAATCACTCTAATGGAAGGGTAAAACAACAGGAAAACAAATAATACATGAATGAGAAAATGCAAAGAATTCAACAGAAAATACTCAAAAAATATTGGATCGCAAAAAGCTAAACTGGTGAGCATTTGAGGTGAGGAAAGCTACAGCAACAAATGGTAAGACATTGATGAATTGTCCAGATTTATGCATCATGGAATTTCAATACAACTGCACTATCGTTGCACATCAACAAAAGGAGATTTCTCTATATTTGCTCGATAAAGGAAAATAAAGCATCTATTTACCATCAATAAGCACCACAAAGCACATAAAACTAACCTTTACAAGCATAAGAAGTTATTATGCATTACTTCAAAATTCGAAGTTTCAAAGACATGACAAGAAATTGATGTGCACTAATAACCTACTTCAAGCATATCACAAGAAACTTGTGATGCTTATTACATCTATTGGGACAAAAGCAAACATTTGTTCTTTGATTCTTACGTGTATCACGATCCAGCTAACAGAATAGTGACAAAGAGATAAAGAGTACATCTTGGTAACTGTTAAACATTGCTAGAAGTTTTGAGGTACTTAATGATAACTGGGAGCTAAACCCTTCAGGCTGAAAAAATTATTATCCAATGGAGTCATCACCATCCATGGAAAATAAGGATGGCGAATTGATGGAGAAAGAAAGGGCCCCACTGTTGGAGCCATTTTTTATTATGGTAGGTCCGACTCTCTTTCTGTCACCCAATTGGACGGTGATGATATATTTCCCTTAGTCCATTGCATTATTGTTTATTCTCCTAATGGGCCTTAAAAATTAAAATATTGGCTTCTTAGCATGAACGAGTGCAACTTACCCAAAGACCCAAAGGGACACAGCAAGCAGCATGGTAGCAACCATAACCCATTCATTCTTTGTCACAGGGCCCATCTCTTCCAACTTTTTTGTTGCCATATAAGGTGCATCTGGCGTGTCTTTGATTTCTGGAGGGAAGATTTTGTACAGTAAATATGGAGTAGCCAGAAGGGAAACAATAGCTGGTAAACTTGCTGCTTTGAACCAGGAAACCCATGGACTTGCAAATTTCACACCAAGTTCCTCTGCTAATTTCAGACACAATAGATTTTGAGCTGCAGCAGTTAGGAAAAGTGCACTTGAGTTGCCAGCAGACTGTCAAACAACACAAAAGCAATAGAGAAATCATAAAAAGAAATACAAAATGTATAAACTTTGTATACAAACATAAACTGCTTAGCATCACTACTCTGTAACTGCATATAGGCTCTACCAGAATATGTTTAAGGTTTAACTGAATAAATAGACTTCTTTTTTAGGTTAGTGCATGAATAGTTAACCTTCAATATGGAATTTTATCCTCTGAGTACTTTAAGCAAAATTGATATGACAGAGAATTTAACTGAGCAGTATTTTCAAGTTAGAAACCACTAACTGCCCCGAAACCTTATGAATAGACTCTAAGAGAACTGCTGTGATGTACAAGACAACCTAAAGCTAATTACAGATATTAAAAAACACATGAACATGAAAGATTCTTTTGTTTTATGATCCAGTTCCACACACATGATATTTCTAGAATGTGGATGTGGGTGCTTTGAAGTTTTGAACATACTTCATACCATAGCCTCATAAAACTCTTGAACATGAGTTTTAAGTCTCAAGTTTCTTCAGCCACTTATGGATGTTCTCATAAAAATTTAAATGAAATTTGTTCCCCCATGGTTGACCAAGGATCACCATATTAAGTACGTCTTTAGAGAAGCCAATCAGGTTGCAGATGTATTAGCAAACATGAAACCACCTTGATGGGAACAATTCAGAAAGCCTGCCCTTCAGATTTTAAATCTTTACTTTTAGACTCAGGCCCTGTTCCTAAGTTTTGACATAGTAACTATATTTTATATTTTAGGGAAAAAATTGTGGTCAAGTAAGTGGTTGGCAGAGGTCAAAAGGTAGAAAATATTTTCCAGTCTTGACTTGGTGCTGTTACCCATCACCACAATTTAATGGATAAACAGAGTCTCCAATGCCACTAGCAGATGCTTGGATCTACAATATGCCTTTTCCCTAGCTCTAATTGTTGAACGCAATCTTTTAATGTTGTCAGATGGCTATGGTGGGGTTCTAGGTGCAATTGGAGACTCCGTGGAATGTTTGAAGAGCTTTGTGATCATTTAAGTTATAGATCGGTTTCTTAGTTTTCTCTTTGAGAAAGATGAGATGATCACTTGTGACGGTTTAGGTTACACACTACCTGTGGGCCAAGCAATACTGCAGATAGCATACCACAGTTTACAGGTGACTAAGGAGGGTTTGGGTCTTCCGGATTTTCTACTGATGCAATGCCACTATCGCTCTTTTTCTATGCATCAAAGACAAACAACAAAAGATTCCGAATACTACGGGAAAATATATTTGATACAAGAGACCATTAATCAGATATTTTTCCAGCTGCATCTCAAAGTTCGATTCCTACAGCTGAACTACCCAAAAACTAAAAAAACTAAAAAACAGCTATCATGTTTTTTAACCATCTGGGGAATTGAACTGTAAATTTATATTATACAGAATAACCTGGAAAATATATAGGAAGGAATTGATAATTTCAGAAACTAATGATGTATCATTATCAGATTGGACAGAATGTTTGTTAAGATATTGTTTACTGGAAATGCTCAAGGAACATGTAGGAGCAAGGATTAAAGCACACAAGGATAAAGATTTCTACAAATCATTGCCCCTTAAAATGTTGCAGTATAATGTGTATATGACAACTTACCATACTGTAAGCATTTCAAGTTTTCCATTTTCTAGGTCACATCGCTACAAGCTATTAATCTCACCAAGTAGAATAAATAAATGTACAACCATGCCCATGCCACAAAGCAAGAAATGATTTACTTGTGCTGATATGAATATGAATAACAACACATTTGTGCTGATATGAGTATGAACTATGAATACCAACTCATAATGAACATAGCAAATAGCTTACACAGCATCTTTTTTAAACTTCCAAACCATAATCAAATAGTCACTAAAAAACCAATGTGCTGGTAAGAGTGGTACAAAAAGAGCCACCTCTTACTTTTTCAGTGCAGTAACACATTGTTTTAAACCAATAAATAAGAGAAATTCCAAGATTTAGAAGGCAATTCATGTGTCTTCTTTTAACTTGCATTTCATAAGCGAATTTAAAAATTATTCTAGCATTTCTCAATTCAAAATTCTGAAATTTTCCGCTCTCAAAGCTCAATATAAAACTTAGCTTTGCACTCTAGATATCCCACTTCTGTCACTTCCTAACATAGTAATAGAAACACATCACAATGCAAAAAGACAAGAAGATTAAATGGGAAATCCCTTAACAAGAATCAATCATCTGAAATTCAACATGAGCGGAGACAAACCTTAAAAATAGTGGATACATGAATCAAAGAATAAAACACACACACACATACACACACACACGCCACATGTAACAAATGCGCACACACACATATATGAACATGCACGCACACCCACATGCCCACGTGCAAGGGCACGCATGAGAGTTTTTCATGTAACAAATGCATGCATGCACACATATATTGACAAGCATGCACACCCACATGGGCACGCATGAGAGTTTTTCATGTAACTAATGCATGCATGCACACATATATTGACAAGCATGCACACATATATTGACAAGCATGCACACGTGCTTACACACATATTGAGCATTTTTTACAGAGCTATGCCACAGCCAAAACCACTATAATAAGCTCAAGTCCACGGAGGGTAACTTAGTAATGGTGTATTTGCGAAAGGTAACTTAGTAATGGTGTATTCGCGAAAGGAGTGGTCTCCATTGGGACCTATAATAAGCTTAAGTTCAAGAAGTGGCCCTTGGCGCATTTTGAAGAAATATGGAAATAATGCATATGAATTGGAATTAACAAAAGCATTGGATATCTCCCCAATATTTAAGGTTGTTGATTTATTTGAATTTCATGGAGAACCCCTAGAAGTCCAAGAAAAAGTAGTTGTTGATATGATGAAGCAATTGCCGAGAAAGAAAGAAGGGGAAATTGAGCAAGTTTTGAAGACTGGAAGCTTTCAAACTCGAAAGTGTTCCTATTGCCAATATCTAGTCAAATGGAATGGCAGGCAGTATTCTGATAGCACGTGGATTTTTGAGGAAGAGTTCAAAAGAGTGGATCCAAATTTATACTACCTCTATGTTAAAGCCAACTTGCCAAAGTTGAGTTCCTTTCAACCAAGGGGGGGAATGACGCAACCAAGCCTCAGCCAGAAGGCCCAAAATACTTCATGGCTAGGAAGCCAAGGGTCATAGGACCGTGAGGGGCAAAAGGGGGCAGTGATGTAATTTGAAGAAGTCATTTTGGGTTTGTTTTATTTCTATCTCAATTGTTATTATGATTTTATTAGGGGCAAGCTTACTCGTTTATTTTTAAGTTAATAATGGGTGGCAATGATTAAATAGGATGGATATCCAAGATTTTGTACGAGCTTTTTAGGGTTATGAGTTATTTCAGTACTTGTTATTGAAGTGTTTAGGGAGTTCAATTTGTTATTTTCTACAGAGAACCTTTAGTGAATACCTTTAGTTTTAGTAAATAAACCTTGGGAGGTGGATTCCTCTTGGTTTTGTGAGTTTTCCTTTATTCTCTATTCTTATTCTCTTTAAGACTTATTATCTATTAGATCTCTCTGTGAATTAAGGTGCTGACTTAAGGTGTTGATTTGTAAAGAATCAAACCTAATTTTCATCAATTTCCAATTCATCCTGAAAAAGAATCAAGCTTCACAAACCACATTGAAGGCTAAAAAAACCCATAATTCAAACCCAAATTGGATTATCTGTGAAAGGCATAAAACTTATGTTAACCCAAATTGGATAATATCAATGGAAGGCATAAAACTAAAACATTAAAACTTAAGTGGTTAAACAAATCAAGCTCCGCAGTTTGAATTTTGAACTGATTTACAAAAGGGACAAGCAATTGAAGGCGGCAAAAAACAATTACAAATGTGGGTATTCTCAATTCATTTCCAAAAGATAATCACACTTTTGTGACCAACCTGGAATTGTGACTGGACCAAGTAGGATCCAAGCTTCTTTGAAGACGGTTGCCCAGGCTCACTTCCTGCTGAAAGGGAAAGTGACTTTATAATGGGCAAGAACACACCTCCCGCTCTTGCTGTAGTGCTCGGCATAGCAGGAGCGATCAGAGCCTCACTAATTGTGAGCCCATAAGAGAGCCCAAGGGTGCTTTTTCCAAGCCATTTCACAAAGTAATTGGCAATTCGATCACCAAGCCGTGTCTTAACGAACCCACGAGCAAAGAAGAAAGATATCACGATTAACCAGATCACCTCATTTGTGAAGGCTTCAAATGCTAAAGAGAAGGAGAGAGTCCTTGTTATGACAGCGGTGGTGAGGCCCATAAAGGCCCACGCCCCAACTGGTAAAGGGCTCAGCACCAGGCCTGTAATGGTGGATAAGAAAATAGAAAGCAATTGCCATGCCTGCGTTGTTACTTCTACTGGCTTGGGGACAAGGTATCTAACTACGAGGCCAACTGCCACCGATAAGATGAAGGGGAGGGGCTTTGCTCCGTGCGTTGTGGTTTTCTCTCTATTGGCCTCTGCAACTGCTGAGACACAGCGAGGCGAGCTGCGAATGGAGGATAGAGATGGGGGATGAGGAGAGAGATTGAAGAGATAGAAAGAGGGGTAGGAGATGAAGGAGTAAGAGAGAGAGAGGGGCCGGCGATAAGAGGGGGACAATGGTGGCGCCTTGTATGAGGGGGGAATCCAGCGTCTGAATGATGGAGAGGAGAGAGAAGGGTAAAATCTGACTGTGGTAACTGAACTCAGAGCCACGCTCTCCATTCGTCGAGAGAGAGAGATTCAAAATGTACAGAGAGAGAAGAGAGAGGGGAGCCAAGGATGATTCTGTGAAAGCAAGAAAGGGAAGGGATGATCCGCTGAAAGCGAGAAGATTCACGCTTTTTGCCCTTAAAGTTTTATCAAACAATTGGAATCACGAAAATTATACTTAAAATTTTGCAAACTAATAAAGACTTGGAAATTGTAAAGAACTTTTCTATTAAAAAAAAAAAAAAAGGACACGGTTTTGGTGAGTCAGCCGACTCACCTATTACCGTACACTCCCTGTCTGTCTAACTTCCACCTCTAGGACAGATGCCTTAAATCTACTAAAAGTTGAGATGGACGGTAAAAAAAGAAATTCAAAAATAACATTTATATTTTTTGAAAAAAAAGGTTATAAATTTACATCATTGTTATGGTTGAGATTATTGAACTTTAAAATTTTGAATAAAAAATATATCATTAAGATATATTTTATAGGGAGACCACCGAAGAATATTATAAGTCGATCGACTTACAAAACATTTTTTTTTAAAATACGTGTAAAAAAGAGATTTTGTTTTGGGTAATGTTTTAAAATTTGAAAAAACAAAGAACATGATTCACTCGTATCTGTGTTGGGTTGCTGGATTGGCAATCCAAATTAGGTGTAGATCAGTCCAAGTGATCTAAATATATTATAAATAAATAAAATAAAATCAAAATCAAAACATATGGTATAGGGATTTAGAGGAGAATTAAGTAATATAATATAAGTTTAAAAAGAAAAAAAATATGTATAGGCGGTTTTTGGGGGAGAACCTAGTCAAAATCTACACCATTTCAGAATCAGTTCCTTCCTGACCAATTCTCATCCAGATTAGCAAACCAGATCAAAAGTCCCAAATATCAAAAAAACTAGTTTGGTAGCAAACCAAGTAAAATGGGACCCGTAATTAAACACCCTTCCACACCCAAAAATAAATAAAAAATTTATACGTGGTTAAGCTGAGAATAAGAAGAGCATTAGGGTGACACTGCGGTAGAAATTGGGTGGATAAAGGTGGCCAACTACTCATAAAAAAAAATTAAATTAAATTAAATTAAAGAATGATTACAAACTTTTTAACTTTTAACTAGAAAATTTTAACAAAAAAATTAGTATAGGCTATAGGTCTCATCTTAATTTGGCTTACTAAAAAGAGACATCGGTTTACACGCTAAAGTAACGGCACTTCGTAGATATCGTCATCAAAAAAGATCGGAGACGAAATTTTCAAATGAGATGCAATCGCATCTTTGGAATCATCAACGGACGGAAAACCTCTACAAATACAGTGAGCCTCAAGCGGCCCACGACGGACCCGCCATTCCAACCACTTCGAGTGGTTAGAAAGGACGAAACCATGGATGATGCCAAGGCACCATGCTACATGTCTATCATCATTATTAATAAGTGATTTAAAAAATAGATCTATGCTCCGAGTCGGGCATTTCAAAAACCCATCTGGATCAGTGAATTGACGATTCGGATCGAAAATCGGCCGACTCGATCGAATTAAGCTCTAAAAAAATTCAAAAACATTATTAAAATTAATTATAAATATTGTCTTTTAGGAATCCAATAATAAATGAGGGTATTCATTGTTAACTTTCACTTTTTTCATCATTTTGTAAATATTGATGTGTTTTTTCTCTGTATAAACTTATGTTAGCCATTACACATAAAAAAAATCATATAATTATCATAGATAAAATATATAATCATACATGGACTACTATAAAGAGTAGATTTAATCGATAAAAAATGGGCATCAAAATCTCAATTTGGCATAAAGCCCTAATCCCCTAAAAATACCCAAATTAACTAACCAACTGTAATCCAAATTTATTACAACCTTACTAACTATAATGTTATATGCTGAACTTAAAATTGTTGATTTAAATTTATAATTATTTTATTATATAAATAATAACAAATCTAAAATATTTTGTAATACGATCTAATTTAAAATGTATTATTGAAAACTGTAAGAAAGATAATAAATTACATGATTTATAATGTAAAAATTAATTAATAAAATAAAAATTTAGTCAAAAATTATTAAAATGCATACCAATTTTCGAAAAAACACTTTAATTTTTCAAAATTTTTATTTTTTAGATTTCTAGAATAAATTTAGTAAAAGAGATTGTTAATAGAAAGAGAGAGATTTCAAATGGAATAAATTTCTTTAAAAAAAATAATTTTTTAGATTTATAGAATAAATTTAGTAAAAAGATTGATAATAGAAAGAGAGATTTCAAAAAAAAATACTTTTTTTAAAAAAAAATATTTTCTGCTTATTTATAATTTTTTAGATTTATAGAATAAATTTAGTAAAAAAGATTGTTAATAGAAAGAGAGAGATTTACATCACACATAAAAGAAATTATATAATTATCATGGATAAAATATATAATCATACTTGAACTACTATAAAGAGCAGATTTAATCGATAAAAAATGACCATTAAAATCTCAAATTGGTAGAAAGCCCTAATCCCTTAAAAATACCCAAATTATTACGAACTAACCAACTGTAATCCAAATTTATTACAACTTAACTAACTATAATGTTATATGCTGAAATTAAAATTGTTGATTTAAATTTATAATTATTTTATTATACAAATAATAACAAATCTAAAATATTTTGTAATACGATCTAATTTAAAATGTATTATTGAGAATTGTAAGAAAGATAATAAATTACATGATTTATAATGCAAAAAGTTAATAAATAAAATAAAAATTTAGTCATAAATTATTAGAATACATACCAATTTTCGAAAAAACACTTTAATTTTTCAAAATTTTTTTTTTTTAAATTTCTAGAATAAATTTAATAAAGAGATTGTTAATAGAAAGAGAGAGATGTCAATGAAATAAATTTCTTTAAAACAAATAATTTTTTAGATTTATAGAATAAATTTAGTAAAAAAGATTGTTAATAGAAAGAGAGATTTCAAAAAAAATAATTTTTTTTAAAAAAAATTATTTTCTGCTTATTTATAATTTTTAAAATTTATAGAATAAATTTAGTAAAAAAGATTCTTAATAGAAAGAGAGAGATTTCAAAAATAATAATTTTTAAAAAAAAAATTTATTTTCTGCTTATTTTTATTGTCAATAAAAATAAAATAAAATAAAATGTATCCGGACGGAATCAAACTTGAAACATGAAGGCTTAACATAGAAGTGATAACCACTCCGCCACATCAGCACGAGTGTGGTTATTTTTTACATTAATAATACTTATCCAAATTCCGTTGTAATTTAATGCACTGTAGGAATTATCCCACATCCAACAGCAAGCTTTAGTTTTGCTTCTATAAATTACTTTGTAAGTTTCTTGAGGTTTGCGGGCATGTCCCCGAGGTTGCCATCCACATTTGCCCGGTGGGTGAAGGAGGTCTTCCACGTGTGAACTATGGAAAATCTATATTTTGCCGCCTGTTAACTCGTTATGTGACTTGCCATGTGACGTCATACGGGTGATGGCTCGCCATGTGACTTCATACGGGCAACTTTTACTCGTGTATGACGTCATACAAGTGGTTCACTATGCAGAACCGGCCGATTTATTCTAAAACCGGGCGATTCCCGGTTTTACACTGAAATCGGCACGGGGTAACCGATTACCGTGCTGACTCGGGCGAGTCCGTTGCGACTCACGGATTTTTAAATCATTGGTATTAACCATAATTTCTATTTGGGTGTGTAGAAGTTTACTTTTTTTTTATTTTTTTAACAAGGTTATATAGGAATGGAACTAAAGATATAGTATGAAAACCCAATCTCTACCGTCTTGACCCAAGCCCAATTCCTTGTAGCATGTGAAAAGTTCTCACTACTGTTCATTGTAGTTGTATGATGTGAAGAAGTTCTCACCACATGTGATGGGATCATACAAAACCTATGGTGTATTTGATGAAACTCTACCTTTGATCATTTTTTACCATGGTTGGTTGAATGAAATGTTGGTGATAATCGTAAGCCTAAGAGGATAAGCCTAAGAATTATTGAACATTGAAAAAATCAAAATAAGGATCAAATGAAATTTAAATTTAAGGAGATGGGTGTTGACGGTTATAGAAACCATATATTAAGTTTCTAATTTTGTATATTACAAAATATTAAAGTTTCCTATATTGAATTTTTATTTTATGGAATTACTATTATAATGAGATTTGTTTTTTAAAATGTAAGAGTTGTAACTCTATAAATATCTGGTAAACCAAAGTAATCCCTATGAATGAAATATTTGTTTACCTTCCGTGGATGTAGGCACCATTGCTGAACCACATATATGATGTGTAGATCAATCTCTCTCTTAACTTCTCTTGGTTATTTATTTTGTTGCAAGTTCAACATGGTATCACTTGAACCTTTGGCCTTTGTTTGCACCTTCTATGTTTTTCCCCTCTCAACGATTACATGCAACAATTATTTGCAACTCATACCATCCATTCAAAAATTATTGGAAAAATTACAAGTAACCTCCAATACTAGACTTTCTATGCAAGTGACCCCAAACCAAATTTTTTTTCTCACTCTTTACCCCAAAATAGACTTTCTTAGCAAATACCCACTCAACTCAAAAAAAGTTAAAAAAATTTCTAAACTACCCTCCCTTAATTTTACCCCGCCTTTCACTCCTCTTTCCCACGAAAAGGCAGTCCCACATATTCTTAGGGCAGTCCGACAGTGTAATGTCGGTCTAGTAAATAATAGTGGAGGGTCTAGCAGTGAAAGTGGCAGTCCGACACTAACAAAAAATGGTCTAGTAATAGGCCCTTGCAGTCCGGTACTGCCAAAGAGCGGTCCGATAATAGGCCTATGCAGCTAGGCAATAGGCCCATACAGTTCGGCAACATGCACAAAGTGAGATCCGGCAACATGCCCAAAGTGCGGTCCGGCAACATGCGCAAAGTGCGATCCGACAACATGGGCAAAGTGCGATCCGGCAACATGCTCAAAGTGCGGTCCGGCAACATGCCCAAAGTGCGATCCGGCAACATGCCCAAAGTGCGCTCCGCCAATGTCAAAGAGCGGTCTGGCGCTTTTTTAGTTCGACGGGTTTCGACAATGTCAAAGAGTGTTTCGGCAGCCCATGTAAGCCCACATGAATGTCCG